TGGGACACGCGTGCCGACGGCCAGCAATCGCGCTGCAGTAAGCGGCTGCCGGCTGCTCTCTGACACTTGAGATTTCCTGTAACCCTGGTCTGTGTGGTTAATAGACACTTTTCTAGTTTTCATACTCGTAGTAGGGGGGGGGGGTTTGCTTTAGAATTTTGAGGCCTCTTTTCAGCGGGGGCCACTAACCCTTCGGCTTGGGTAGGTTCATGCATTAAAGCGCTCCTGATAGCGGTGTCACGGAAACAACCCGAGAACGTGATTTTTGTTCCAAGTCTGTCTATCAGTAGAGAGCAGATTGTCGGAGACCAAGCCAAAACATCGCCAATCAGACGGGCAACCAAGCAAGTCACTGAAAGCCTGCTATGGATCCTCCTTAAACACCCAACACAGCCCAGTTCTTAAGCTCAGAGATGGATAAGCAAATAAAACAGGCATGTGAGAGTCTGAGAAGTGAACGCGGCCGGGGTTTGCATGTGACTGTGTCCGAGCAGGCCTGCAGAGGCGATTAACTCCACGCGGGCTGCAGTTCTGCAGGTCAAAGGTCAGCAGGAATGTGACCTGTCTGTTCCTCCTCTAATTTCTGCATTCACTCAAGGAAGGAGCCTGGAACGGCGCCCACAACTGGAGAGGATCTCTGTCTCCACGCTAATCGCCCAATCTTTCCTGGAAAGAAGGTCCCACGTTTGCCTGCTTCTGTCCCGGTCACCCTCTTTAAACATGCCGATCTCGATCGGTAAACACGGCGGCTCAAACCGGCGTCGCCCCTTTCCGTCACCGCCGGTTTTAACTCTGATCTCTCTCACCCCTTCAGCACATGTTTGCTCAGTTTTCCGAGTCCAAGAGATTTAATGACTTGTCCGGGCACGTAATTCCTGACCAGAGGTTTGGGGGGGTCTGTGACCAGGGGGGAGGGAAGACATGCTCAAATCGGCCGTTTTTTTCAGTCTCTTATAGCTTCCCTGCCCTCCGAACGAGACAGTGTATGCAGCAAGGTCTGATTTCGCTGAGCTGAACGTGAATTCATGCTGTCCCGCATAAACCGGGACTCCAAAATACGCCTGTCAGCACTAACATAAGCATCGAATTTACTCAATCCAGAAAGGATTAGGCAGGACATGACATCAAACAACCTCTGTTCCACCGGGGGAATTTTCAATAGAGTCAGTGACTCAAGGTCAGTGTAATACGTTATAGAGCATGTGACAATTTCTGGCTAAATAGACCCTACAGATACTCAGGATCTCAGAGTCTCACTCAGGATAAAATTAGTAAATACAGGTCAGCAGCTTGCAAATAAGGAATACGGACAGCGGGAAAAGGCAAGCTATTAATATTAAACCCTTAAGTGCTTAGAGCATCATCTAACAAAACCACAAAAATCAATACTGTGGAGTTCTTCTTAAACATATCATTCTGGAAGAGTGTCCCGTCTCCCACGTGCTTCCAGGTTCCCGGAGCGCGGCTGAAATTCCAGGTCAAAGTTCGCGTTCCTGATGCGACCGTTTCCGTGACCTCCCCCTGAGTTTTATAACATTCAGCTTTAGACGGCCGATCGACGGAAGAGCGCTGACAAACTGGCCTTTCAGACGAATCTGCAACCCATCCGCTGCAGATTCCAAACGCATAATGAAAAAAATTAATTGTAGCTATTTTTGCTGCTAGGCTGGATCCCGGACACTGCACCCACCTGTCCGTGAAATGTTTACCGTGGTATTTACATGTATCGATCGCGCTCTGTTTACCCGCGGCGGGGGCAGCGGCTGGGAGGGGAGTCCTCTCCCATTTGGCAGGCGCCCCGAGGCGTATTCCCTTTCAGAGAGATATCGATCGGTCGCTCTTGCCACTATAATGAACACGGGGGCCCATTCATTTCGCCCACACACAATGCGGCACAAACACAGCCGACACCTGCCCGCTCCCCCCACAGACTGGAAAGCCGAGGCTTAAATGAGGAAGAAAGAGGTTGCTGTGATGGGGGGGGGGGGATTTCCAGAACCACACTACATGAAGATAAACATCCTGGCTGTGCTATCTGGACAGAATAGTGATTAGGATGCTTAGGCGAGAGCCATCAGCTTACATCAATGAGGACTATAGAAAAATACAAAAGCAGCTTGTTAGTCTAGGGATACGATTCTTGCTTGTGGTTTAAGAGGTCCGGGGTTCGAGTTCTAGATAAACCCATGTTCGGTCTCTCAGTTTTAGAGGGGTGTTGTTTGGCTCAGCTGGTTGGCCCTCTGGGCCTGTGACCAGAAGGTCGTTAGTTTGAATCCCACGCTCAACAGAGTGGTTGCATCTCCACTGGATAAATGTCTGGTTTCATCTCTGCATGTCTTAAAATGTATGTTCTCATAAAAATGGCAAATATATTTACACAGGGGCAGTTTTAGAGAATGGGTGAATTGCCGTGAAACAGTCAAAGTGACTGAGACCAGTGAAGGGCATTTCCTCCTGCAGTTTACTTCTGTGCAAAACACTGCGATAAAGTAACTGGGAGCTACGGAACACACGAGGCTTTGTCCTCTCAAGACCTCCTCGTCCTTCATGCACGCAGAACAGACGCGTCCAGCAAAAAGGCCCGCCTGCCCCGACCCGGACCGTCACCCGAGACGACACTCATGTTTTCCGTAGAGACCAGGAGAATTTCTAAACCTCTCTCACTGATGGCCACATTCCAAGAGGTGAATGAGTGACCACTTGGCTTTGGA